CCTGGGATCGAGCCCCGCATTGGGCTCCCTGCTCGGCGGGGAGCCTGCCTCTCCCTCTCCCACTCCCCCTGCTTGTGTTCCATCTCTCTCTGTGTCTCTCTCTGTCAAATAAATAAAACCTTAAAAAAAAAAGAGGTTTAATAGGGAATTAAGGGAAAAACCTTCCCCTTGAAGGAACCGTGAAATAAATTTCATAATTAGAAGTGACCTCATGGAAGCATTTGTGGAATTTTAGTGACTGTGGTCCCTAAAAATGTGACCCGTGCATCAACCAGATGTTCAGGTACATAAATCCATGAGCATAATATTTAAATGTTTTCTTATTTTCTTTTATTTTTATCCTGTTTCATTCAATACAAAAAACTTGTAGCCACTTAAGAAGAGTAGAATCACTGAGGGAAGGTGTGCTGTTCTCGTACTGTTTATTTCCACCAGGGGCATTGTGCTCCATCCTGGGTACTTGAATAAGGACAGTTATTTGTGTATTGGAGCAAAGGTATTTCATGGATTCTGCATGCTTTCAGCAGGTAGAATGAAGGCAAATGATTACAAGTGACAGGGTGGCAGTTTCCTGCTCAGGGTAGGCGTGATCTTTCTAATAGAACTTTCTGATGGCTCTGGGTTGAGCTACTTTGGAAGTAGTATGGGAATAGGTGGTGATATTTAAGGAGAGGTTTGTCCACAATTCGCCATGAAAAAGTAGAATCATTTTTAAGGTTTCAAATTACTCTGGGAGTGACAGACGTTTGTTTATCCATTCCATACTTTCTACATGCTTCCTACATCCCTACATCCTCCATACTAAGCAGTCATTAGCTCTGTAATTGACACTGACTTCCACTACGAGGCAATGCACCACCTTCTTTCCGTAGTCAGACGCGTTATCCATTGTGCCACTGGCCCTGCTACACCACCTTCTTTCCAAGGCCATCTGTGTGTGCATAATCAGTGAGCGGCTGAGAAGGTACAACCAGTGTTCGGAATTAAAACACGCGTTTTGTTAAAATACCATTCCTTTATTCATTCAGCAAGTAGTTATTTATCCAGTGCCTACTTTGTGCCAGTCATTGTTCTAGGTGCTGAGAGAAGAGTGGCCCCAGTGCTAGAAATAAAAGCAAGCAGTGGCGCCTGGGTGGCTCAGTAGTTAAGTGTCTGCCTTCGGCTCGGGTCATGATCCCGGCGTCCTGGGATTGAGCCCCGCATTGGGCTCCCTGCTCCACGGGAAGCCTGCTTCTCCCTTTCCCACTCCCCCTGCTTGTGTTCCCTCTCTCGCTGTGTCTCTTTCTGTCAAATAAATAAATAAAATCTTTAAAAAAAAAAAAGCAAGCAATAACTCAGGGAACTAACTTAAAAAGTAAAATTTCAAATAGTGATGAGTGCTAGGAAGGTAATAAATGTGCTATGGTAGAAAATAAAAGAGAGAAGGAGGATCTATTTTAGATGGGATGGTCAAAGATGAAGCTCCCATGAGGTGGCATTTAAATGGGGACCTGAAGGATGAAGAGCCAGTTGTTCTAACAGTGGGAAGAATGTTGTAGACAGAAAGAAGGACACATGCAAAGGACTAGTAAGGAGAAAGACATGAGCACCTTTGAGGCCCAGAAAGAAGGGCCACGTAGCTGGAATATGATGGGTGGCAGTGAGTGAGGCATACAGTGAGTTTCCAGAAATACACAGGGTCCAGCTCACGTCTGGAGGCGTAGGGCTTAGAGGTAAAAACAACGGACCAAGGAGCCAGAGAGCCTGGATTCAAGTTACACTGCTTTCTCTTTCCTTATTGTCTCATCTGCAAAATAAGATAGCACACATCTATGTGTAATTGTGAGGATTCAATATGGAAATGCTTAGAACAGTGCTTGCAGTGATGCTTGCATGTTAGAGTTTGCTGCTACCACCACCGGACTTGTGGACCGTGGTAAGGAACATGGATTTCATCTTAAGAGGATAAAGTCACTGAAGAGCTTTTCAGTTTGGACTGTTGTGTAAAACTTCTAAACAACACCCACTACGGTGAACCGAGTAAGAAAACAGGTGTGATTACTTCTTGTAAAGTTTCAAATGTGACGTCCACAACAGGATATGCTAAGTAATAAAAGGGCAGAGTTTTGTTTTGTCTGCGTTATTGTGCTAGATGGTGTGAGCCACGTGGCCACTGCAGGGAGAGGCCACCCAACGACCGAGCGGTGTTTGTCTTACACCATCTTGGTCAGTGGCTCCAACCTGTTTCCCAGGTTAAAAAAAACACTCCATAATATGCAGGAAGAGACACTTGAATAATCTAATTTTTAGGAACAAAGTGTCTGGGTCCTTTAGGAATAAAAAGGACATTTTAGACAGTTTTGAAAGCTACAGGAGAATGCAAGCCTTAATATCTTTTGACTGTGACCATGGCTAATGGAGTGCTGATCAGGTGTCTGTAGGGCTGTGTCTTCGATGTGTCACATCTTCTCTCCCTCTTGCTTCTGGTTCTGCTTTTCCATCCTTGATGGCACTCTTCAGTAGAAGCACGCCCCGGCTTTAGGCTTATTGATCGCCAGTGATGGAAGAAGGTGTCCTTGTGTTATGGGAGCCACTGCTGGGTGTAGGCATTCTCTTCATTAGCTTTTGAGATGCCCGAAGGGCACCATCCGTTTCTTAGATCAACTGATATGAGATGGCGTTATCTTTATTTTTACGAACCAGCTGTCTGCTTGCAGTGGGGATAAAGAGCAGTGATAGTAATCAGATCCCAGCTGTAACTAGCTGGGCTTTTGTAGGAAAAAATTATCTTGAAAACATTTTTTTTTTTTAGGCTCCAAGTCTCAGTGGCACTCCCTATCAGCGACGAAGCTGCATGTGCGGGAACGCTGGTCCCTTTGTGGTCCTCCTGTGAACGTGACCAAGGGCCGTGGAGACGGGGTGAGGGACGGAGAGAGCTGATCCATGACCTCACCCTTGCTGGTTCCATCCTGCCCTTCTGACTGACTCCAGAGTGCAGTGTGACTTAGATGGGCTGAAAACAAAGCACAGAGACTGGGTTGACACATTTGGATCTTGGTCTTCCTGTTTCTTGAGTGATATGGGATGAGGCTGATGTTTTTACTTCTCATGGCAGAAGTGTCTTTGATTACTGCATGATAGGAACTCGAATAATTTCCCATCATGGATGTCGAATACTTTGAAAAATTATTTCTAAGTGATCCAGCAGAATGACCACACCCATATTGCTATGGAACCGAGTCTTCTAGCTAAATAAAATTTCCTTGGAAATGAGCAAACATTTTCACTGCGATCCTCATTGAAAAAGTTTCTAAGTACAATAATGACTTTACTTAATTGGGCAAGAATGTCCAGATTGCAGTGGAGCTGTTCTCCCAGGCTCTTGCAAGCATTCCAAATTACAATTACTAAGCATTGTTTCTCTCTGTATCTTCATCAAATATTTAATACCTGCTATGTTCAAGATACCATGCTGTTTTTTTAAGTCTGTGTGTATCAAATAGTTCATTTTGTCGCTAGCTTTTCCATTCCATTTGTAGGTTAGGAAAACAGCCCTCCCATATCCCCCCCTCTAAAGACAAACAGCCATTCCTTAAGACCCCAATCTGAGTTCTATTTTGGGTTAGTGTAGCTCAGTAAATATTTAAATGAGTGTCTGTAATATTCCAGGTACTGTGTTAAGTCCTGGGGGAACAAAACTCATCCAGATACAGTTGGATGAGGAGCTCACAGAAATGGGTGGAGAAAGTCCACTAAAGAGAGTTTTTATCGGCTGTGTAAGAGTTATGACAAAGCACCCTGGGGAAGAGGTCAGGGATCTATTGGGAAAGAGCCCCTTTGCTCCAGCGGCCAAGGGGCATCAGGAAATTTCCTATGGGGAGTCATCATCTAGGTGATGGGTGTTTCCACATGTGTGTGTGTAGGACATCAAGCTCCCAGAAAGTAATTAGTTGCAATTCAACAAACATTTAATATACAACTTTCATTGTATGTGCTGCATTTGGCAAGGGGACAGGGATATAGGTTTAGAAATGAATGAACCATCTCTCTTTCATTTTTAGTCAAGCGTTAAAGCATTATCAGCTTATACTGTATTAAATGCCCTGCCCGCTCTGTGTTTTATCTGCAAGTTTTGAAACTTATATTCTCTGTCCTTCTCACCCAGTGGCCCTGTCCTTTTTTTTTGTCTATGTCATTGTTACTAAATCTTTGTTATTAGGATTGAGTAAAAATGACTATATTTGCTGGCAGAAATGCAGTGCATTTTTCAGGCTGGAATGGCTGGCTCAAGATTCATTTCCGGCTTCTATAATAAGTGGGAAATGTGATGTTACTTCTCTAATTTTTCTGTATACCGTTTATTTCCTAAAGCCACTCAGAGGCCAGTGGGTAACATCTTTTGCCAGTATTTGTGTGTTAACCCCATACAAGGCTTTACAGGTGTTTTTTTTCTCTAAGATCTATTTATTTATTTAAGGGGGGGAGGGACAGAGGAAGAGGGTAAGAGAGAATCTCAAGCAGACTCCGCACTGAGCGCAGAGCTAGACAAGGGGCTTGGTCTCGAGACCCTGAGATTATGACCTGAGCTGAAACCAAGAGTCAGATGCTTAACCAGCTGAGCCACCCAGGTGCCCCCAGGACTTTACAGTTTTTAAGACAATTTTCTGTTCCTTTATTTCATTAATTCTAACCACAACTTGGTGAAGAAGGTATTAATATCTCTGTTTTGATGCTGAGAAACTGAGGCTCAAACTGATCAAATGACTTGCCCAAGATCCTGTAACAACATCTTATAACTTAGCTCCTCGAGCCTCTACTCAATCCCAACTAAATCCCTCTTTTTGTTGTCTAAGACACTGTTGAAGTGCATCTCCTTGAAAAAGGCTTCCTTGATGCCTAAACACTGGGTTGGCTCTCTCCCCGGTGCTCCCATAGCACCTAACACTTACCAAGAGTGTTGCAGAGTGGTTGGGCTTTGATATTGTATCTGCCTGTTTGCAAGTCTGTCTCCTGCAATCTGTCCTCTAAATAACCTGAGGAGAAGTGTCATGTCTGGGTTCTCACGGAATCCCCAGACCGGTTAGAATACTTGCCACAGAATAGATTTCCAATAACCATTGATTGAATGAGAAAACTGAATAATTAAGACCTTGTTATAATATTGAAAGTGCTTTGTAAGTGACTTGAGAGTATGAGATATTCTTAGATCCCTGCGAACAAAGCATTATGCTAAGACGTAGCTTCAAAGTGTGAGAGAGTTTACCTTCTAGGTGAATAGGCACAGGTATGGACTGAATGTTTGTATCCCTTCAAAATTCCTATGTTGAAACCCTAACCCCCAGTGTGTTGGTGTTAGGAGGTGGACCTTTGGGAGGTAGTTAAGTCAGGAGGGTGGGGCCATCTTGAATGGGATTAATGTCCTTATAAGAAGAGCTTGAAGAGCTAGGTGATTCTCCTTCTGCCATGTTGCTCACAATGAGACTGGTTGGCAGTCTGCAGCCCAGAAGAGGCCTCTCACTACAACCTAACCATGCTGGCACTCTGATTAGACTACCAGCCACCAGAGCTCTGGAGAAATAAGTTTCTGTTGTTTATAAGTACCTGGTTTATGGTACTTTGTGGTGGCAGCCCAAACTGACTAAGAGAGTCATATCATTGATATTATCTACTTATAAAACAAAGAGTTGCACTTACCTCTCTTTCTTCCTGGGGGTCTTTTAATCTCACACTGTTTTTTCATTGGGAAGTAAGTCATTTATTTATTTTTAAAGATTTTATTTATTTATTTGAGAGAAAGAGATAGAGCATGAGCAGGAGAGAAGGGCAGAGAGAGAGGGAGAAGCAGTCTCCCCACTGAGCAGGGAGCCCGAGCAGGGGCTCGATCCCAGGACCCTGAGATCATGACCTGAGCCAAAGGCAGTTGCTTAACCAACTGAGCCACCCAGGCGCCCCTACGCATCTAAATATTTGCAAGAGAAAAACAACGTGTTTTTTTCTTTCTTCCTGGGATGCCCTAAATGTAAACTGCCTGTCAACAATTTTAGGGTAAAAAAGGAACTAGTCTGTAGTCTGACCCACCACAAAGGGATAAATTGTGGGTCACCTCTAATGGACTGGACGTTTTTGGATCAATAATCCCTTGGAAAGTGCCATTCAGACTTCCTGTAAGAGGCTGTTTCATTCAGTCTGTGACCCCTGTCCTGTGAAGGCCCTCCAGGGAACCGCAAGGGAAGTAGTCTCGCTGATGGCATCCTTTGTGATTTAACACTGAAGAGTCATGTACTCACTTTGGTCTGCCTCAGTAACCAAGGGCCAGTGCCGACATGAAGTGGTACTTTGGGTCAAAAGAAGTCGGTTTTGAATTAATGCGATGACTTGGCCTCTTTAATTGGTTCCTTTGCTCAGATATTGTGTTAGACTGTACTTAGATAAGCTTGCAAGATGGCAAATAGAGAAAATTTAAAACAGCGCACAAATTGATATCCTATGTGACAACCAATTGCCTTTGTAAGACGTGTTTTGAAATTCCGTGGTGCATGTATTTGAAGCTGTCAGCACATAAAACATGCTGTTTGGGGCAAGAATTTATATTTTTTCTAGGCGAGGGAAGAAAATGTTACATAGTGTAGGACCCTGAGAAGGGATGAAGGGTAGATCGAACGTAGGGCGTTCTCTCTGTTTTGTACAGGACCGAAGAAGCAAAGCTAGTCACTGGTAGACACGGGGAGCAGGGGGTAAGTAGTGTTATGTTTTGCTTTCTCTGATCTTCCTGGTTTGTTATCAAAGCAAGACAAATTCCCCAAGTAGAGAGGCAGGGTTTCAGGTAGCCTGCCTTGAATATTTCGGGTTATCCAGCCTCACCGTCTGGCTCAGAACATCACAGGGATGCCCACGGTAGTGGAGACATGCCGTGGACTTGCTGGGCTTTTGATATTAGAGCAATCGGAGAAAGAATATTCGTTCTTTCTCACCATGTTCATACCATGTTCAAATCTGGATACGCTTTTTGATACTTAAGAACATGCACCACATCTCAGATGTGCTGACTTTCATCTTTTCTTAGGGTGTGTCTACTTCCTTTGTTGTTTTTTTTTCTAAGATTTTATTTATTTATTTGAGAGAGAGCAAGGGTGTGCAAGAGGGAGGAGGTGGGGGCAGAGGGAGAGGGAGAAGCAGACTCCCCCGCTGAGCAGGGAGCCCGATGGGGGGAGGGAGGGCTGCATCCCAGGACCCCAGGATCATGACCTGAGCTGGAGGCAGACGCTAATCCACTGAGCTACCCAGCCATCCCTCCTTGATTGTTTTAATTGCCAAAGTAATGCATGCTGGTTGTCAATAAAAGACAATATTTAATATTTCCCCCCCCCCAACATTCCCCACCTGTCCTCCACAGGCAGCCAGTGTTAACTTTTCTGTATGTTTATGCAAACCTTTATATAGAGAGAACTTCCCTGCCCATTTGGACTTTTTTGTTTCTTGCTGGTTTTTCTAACTGAAGTGGAATTATTCCATAATATTCCTCAGTAAACTGTGGGTTTTTTGTTTGTTTGTTTGTTTTTTTGCTTACTAATAGCTCCTAGGGTTCTTTCCAGAAGAGTCCGTGTGGGTATTTTTAATGGCCACGCACTATTCCATAGTATCCGTGTATTCCTGCTTGTGGATGTGGAGGGTTATTTGTTTTGTCTGTTTGCAGGTATAAACAAGGCTTCCACTAATATTCTCGTACACGTTTTCTCAACTGTCTTTTACTTCTGTAGGGGATTAAATCCCAAAAAGTGAGAGTGCAAGGTTGAAAAAGTTGCTAATTTTCAATGTGACTTTCTCAGTTTATGTGATTATGCATACACTTTCCATGTCAGATAAATGAGCCCTAGCCCTTTCTAGTAAAAATAAAAGGCATGCTGGTGGCATCGATGCAGTTAATTTTCTACATTAAAGAAAGAAGTTTTGAAAATCAGACCTACGACTGTAGCAGTCACGTGTGGACAGTTCTTATTTATTTCTTTTTTATACTCGAGCTGTATTCATGAGAACATGCTCTTTGAGGCATTGTTTACTTTTCAGATTTATAAAGTCCATATTGTGCTTTTGGCTTGATTTTTTTTTTTCTTCTCTAAAGTGGAAGAAAATTCCTGAATTCCTACAATGTAATTATTTTGCAAGTAAGAATTAAAATTGTTTGCATATATTGCTCTTAAATAATGAGAGTCTCTCTTTAAGGATTATAATGATTTGTTTTTCTTTCATCAAAATACATTTTTGATACAT